GGAACAAGTTTTTGATACAGTGTCGGTACTTAAATATTTCAAAACTCCATATGATGTTGCAAAAGAAGACCAAAAGCCTGCAGAGGGTGATCTATCTAGAGAAAGACTGAAAAGAAGGATGAAGATTAAAATCATTGAAAGCCAAATCGAGGAAGGAAATACAAAGTTTACCTTTGTCGTTGCTGGTCATAGTGCATGTGCAGGACATGGTAACCTATTCAAACATTCATATGGAAATGTAATTGAACAGTCTTTGAAGGGGGCATTCGGTTCTCTTGGTATTCAATTTTACTCCAAGAATTATGCAGCGGGAAACACCAAGTCTTCTCCCGAAAATGCACTATGTATGCAAGGAAATTACGGAAAAGATATTGATGTCCTTTCTTGGGATTTCGGAATGACTGACGGTCGTACTCCTCAATTTTATAAAATGTGGAAGCAGAGAGCCGCACTTCATCCAACTAGACCTATTTTGTTTTCATATGGACAAAGATACTGCGATCAAATGCATAAAGAACATGAAGAGCAAGGAGGAGCTGGTTTCGAAGCCAACTTTTGGAATGCTCGTAACATCTTTCCTAATTCTGATGATCCAAATGTTGATACTTCCAAGCTAAGTCCAGCTGTCAAAAATTATATGTGTAACGGCCATCCTGAAACTGGAGATGTTTGTGGCCCAGTCGATGTCAAGTATGATACGAAAGAAGCATGTGGAAACAATATCAAAGGTCAAGTTTCTTGGCACAATGGGTGGAAAGATCATTTATTTATTGGTCGTGTAACCGCTGCATTTATTCTTGAGAACTTTTTGCAGGCTCTTGAGGAATTAGCCGAAGCAGCAACTATGGTCGATGAAGGTGACGGGAAGGCCCCTAAACATCAAACTGCAATCAACACGCTATATCTTGCAGAGCTTCGTAGACTCGAGAGGGAAGACCATGAGAAATTTGAAGCTAGCAAGACTCCTGATGATTCAGAAATATTCGGTGCTGGTTTGAAACATGGTGGAAACTTCACAAACTTTCAGAGGAAGGTCGGGTATTGTCGTCATACATTTCTTCCAAACGAAGCAAGGTACAATGGGGTAGTATTTGATGGAAAGCAAGAACCTGCAGAATACATGTTTGGTGGAAAGCACGACTATAAGGATGAAGGATATGACTTATCAAAATTACCTGATCCTGAACCTGACAATGACGATTCTGAAGTCATGCTGGTTTATAATGTGAAGGGCGATCGCGGTACTTGTAAAGAGGCTGAAATTGACATGAAAGATATGTATATGGTTCGTTACGAAGATAAATGGATGAAGATGACGCTTCCCAATAGTGCAGAAGAGCAGTACTATGATCTCGATACAAATGATTTAGATGGAGTTATTCTCATGTGTACCACTGTGAAGTTTTTTGGTAAGCGAGCTGATGGTGAAGTTATCATTCCAGACATGTTCAACTCCACATTGATTCCGAACCCAGACGAAGCTGGAATATTTGTGAATGGAGTAAGAGTCATTGATGGTGCTCGTGTCGAAGACGATAGATGCTACGTCCTCAAACATAAAGAAGGGGAAGAGGGATATTTCTTTCCAAAAAATAGTGCAGGAAAATATGAGTTTAAATTTCGACTGCCAATACCAGGGAAGTTGCAACTAACAACGATTGTAATTGTTTAGGACTATTTAAAAATAACGATTATTCTTATACTTATGGCAACTTATGCTACCTAGTAAAACAAGTTTGACCTAGATCTCTTCCTCGTCTGAGTACATTCCTTCATCTATGGTTCCAATCCAATCACGCTGAATTTGCCTCTTCATCTTTCTAGTGTTTGGCGTTTCAAAAGTCATACGTCTTGAACTTGATTTGGATTTGAGATTGAAAGAATTTCTGTCCATTGCTTTATTGCTTCTTATAGCATCAGTGTAAATACTCTCAAACTCGCTGGTGCCCGCACTAGAAGTTGAGATCCCTCCCATGGATAAAGCACTGACACCAATACTTCGATCAGGAGATGCACAGTTCAACACATTCTCTTTCTCCATTGGAAAATTTGGTTTGAACACTGCACTAGCTGTAAGATCTGCAGAAGTATCAACCGATTCCTTTTTACGCATGTGCAAGCTTTTGTTTGCTTGTTTGATTATGTTCATACACTCCATATGTTCCAAAGTTCCTGCTGAGATTGCAGATACATCATCTTCTTCATGGCGGACTTGAATTTCTGTGTACTCACGGATCTGAACAGGAGGCAACGGAGAGGCGTTGCTTGGTCGATGAGACCTAGAAAAAGAACGAGAACGTGTCTTTTCACTAGCCGCTCTTTCCAAACTTCGACTTCGATTATCTGGACGAACAGAGTGCGACCTGGATCTTGGCTCTCGTCTATGCGATCTACTACTGTGACTGCTACTCTTTCTGCTACTTGAATGACTTCGTCTATTTCTTTGATCTCTCTCACTTGATCGTGATGAAACTTCAGTCACAACAGTTTCATCTTCTTCACTGTCGTATTTTTCTGATGGATAATCGTCAATCATGGTTGAACATGCTGCCATCAAATAAAACAAAGTATCCAAAGGACCACTACAATGGTCGCGACGACGGCTATATCTATGTCTTCGTCTGGAAGAGGAAGTAGGCATTATTCTTTTTTATTTTTGTGCGAGAATCACTGCTCTGCAACCACTAGGTCTGTATGTCTGTTTTTATGGTTAATAATGAGGTCCCTAACCACACAAACTGCACTTCTCGCAGCGTGATTTCTGGTCAATTTTCCACACTGTGATTTTGATTTGTGGTCGGGAGTCTTGTTGCAACCTATGAATGAGTTGTAGCTTGATTCAGCTCTTGTACTACGTACAACAACGAAAACTACTCTAGAGATTGAAAAGGCCGGGATGGTGATGTTTGAATCGCTAAGCAACATGTGTTTTCCAAGATCAAGCACGATTGAGCACTAAAGTTGAAAGAAGACGTGTTTTTAAAATGTGGGACTGACGGGCGTGGGTTAAAAAACAGAAAACATATTCTATTTTATCAAAAATTCATTCAATGCAGCTTTTATTCTTCTTTGATTTTGTTTTCCTTGCTTCATAATCATGATCTTATCAAACTTTCTAGACTCTTGTATCTTTCCAAATTTTTTTTTTCTCACTATGCTCCGAACGGTTTCTTCTTCTTGTCTCAAGTCACTCTCTTCTGCTTTTGCATAAGCAAATTCATTCTCAATAATTCGTAACTTTCTTTGATTCTTGGAAGTATTGATTAATGCACCTGTACTATCAATCTTTTGGGATAGAAGTAGTAGATATTGGAAGATATGGAGTGTGGTCAGTGATATATTTTTCATAGGTGTCAAGTGAAGATGGAATACTCACAAATCCAATTCTCATTAGATGTTTTTGGATATGAACATTCTCAAAGAAATATTGTAAATGAATGTCATGGTATGCATTATATTCCTTGGATTCCATTCTTGTGTTGATGTGGTTGATGAAGCCTTTTTCTCTTTGCTCTAGCAATGTGTCATTCATTTGAAAAAAATGAAAAATGTCAAGTTTGTGAAGAAGTAGTTTGGAACGGTGGCTTTTTCGTTGACTGACTTGAAGGCCTATGGTGAAAATAGTGTGTGTGATTTACTGGACCAACGTGAAAGTGAGCAAAAAACAAGTCCAACTTTATCTGTCCCTTGGAACAAGAGTAACTTTTGTCTCGGCAATATCCTCCGCATTACATAAAGGACATGTATTCCTCCATAAGACCCATGTCTTGAGACAGTCTACGTGAACTTCAAGTTATAGACAATTGTTAGTTCAAAATTATGACTGTAACATGAAGTAAAATCGTATTCGAAACTTACATTGATGACCACAATCCAAGTCACCAATTCTTTCTCCATGTTCAATTTCCATCATGCATATCGAGCAATCTGTTTGATGATCTGGACAATCATCAACACTGCCCAGATCCTGCTGTTTCCTTACATTTCCATCTTTATCAACCATGTCATCAGTAAATGTTTCGAATGCCGAGGATGCTCTCCCGTCAAAAGTTTTCGTCTTTAGCTGAAGAGACATTTGCTCCCTCATTCCGTCTGTTCTTTGACTGACAAGTTCCAGAACTCGTCTCACCTCTCTTCTTGCCATTCGTTCTCTTCAGTTTGATGGAATTTCAAACAAAGTGTCAGTTCGAAATGATTTGTCATTAATTTGTAAGAGTATATGTTCATAGCGGTCGAATTTACCTTTGAAGAACATGTTCCACCATTCTGCGATTAAAACATGGGAAACATTTGTTGAGTAGATAGTTTCGAGCCATGGCTCCACATCTCGTGGTAAATAGAGAAAACACTGCAATCATCACAACGAAGAACAGTGGCGTATAGAATATCCGAATGAAGGTATCCATAGAAGTTGAATGAAAGCAATGTACGTCATTCCTTGATGAAGCACTACGATAGCGCGGGACGCTGCAAGTGTTTTCATTATTGAGTATAAGGCAATATTGGTCGAATGAATCCCCTGCACATGAGCAATGTAGAGCTTCGTAGGGTTTTGTTGTGTTTGAACTTTCGTGGGAATAGCTTTGGTACCGTTCAAAGTTTTGTGTTGAATTATTGTAGGTTACATTGAATGGTGCACCAAGGCTCAGCCGACAGCTGATTCTACTGGAGAACCAAGCATGCGAGTTCTTGAATTGTAAATTTGTTACGATGAGTATGAATATATAATAGTTGAGTGTTTTGGAAAAATTGCTTCTTGATCTCATTTTTCAAGAATTACTGTCGCTGCTCTCTTTGTTTTTAGATCTTGGTTCTTTTTCCTTTCGCTTCTTCAACAATCACAGCGTTGTGATAAGTAACTAAATAGATGAATTTTATTTGATTTCTAAGTAGATCGCTTCACATAAAACTTCCCTTACTTTTATTTATTGTTTTGCAGCCAATAAATAAAAGTCATAAGTACAAAAATGTTAAGATTGCTTGATGAGGCAAAAGATCTGTGAACAGTGCCAGACTCGAACTGACGACCTTTGGGTCTGGAATCCAATGCTCTACCAACTGAGCTAACCGTCCAATCTGACAGAGCCGTGCGCTGTTATAAAATATGATAACAAATATCAAAGTTCAAGCAATCCTGCACATCATCTTTCATCATCGAAAGCCATATTTTCATAGATCTAAAAATTAATAAAAGGAAATAATAGACATATCAGATGAATTATAAAAGTTACAAAGTAATAGCTGTATGCAGTCTGATCGTTTTCATATCATGTTGTGTTGTTGGATCGTTAGGATTCAATCAGGCTCCCAAATTAAAAAGAGGTAAAACATTGATATCCTGCAAAGAGAAGCAGTCTTGTTCCAAACCACTGCAGATGGTTTCAACTGCGGATATCTCCTCTTCGTCATCATCCTTATCCTCTCCAGTTGTAGAAACGAAGCAAATTCAATTGTCAGAGGTGAATGCAGAAGTGAAGATTTGTAAGCCACTAATATCCAATACAAATCCTTTGCTGAAATTAAACCCGTTCACATCTATGGAGAAAAAGAAACAACCTCTCTTATTCATACATGGATCCTTTCATGCAAGTTGGTGTTGGGAGAAGCACTTTATGCCTTATTTTGCCTCGCTTGGATATCCATGTTATGCAATAAGTTTACGTGGAACAGGAAATACTTTCGCAGGGGAAGGTGTCAAGAAAGTAAAACTTTCACAACATGCAAACGATGTATCTGACTTTGTTGATTATATTCGTAAAGAAGAGGGAGAAGATTCGAAACCAGTTATGATTGCCCATTCATTTGGTGGCTTGGCTATTATGCGATTCTTGGAGGAAAATCTCCTCAGTGGTGATAAATCTTGTAAAGACTTGCCTATAAGTGGTCAGGTCTCCATGTGTTCCGTGCCTCCATCTGGAAATGGCAAGTTGACTATGAGATATCTTAGACGTTCACTTCGTGATAGTTGGAAAGTTACTGCTGGACTAGCTATGAAGAAATGTATATCTGATGAAGCGTTGTGTAGAGAGTTATTCTTTGATGAAGATCAAGATCAGGAAGAAGGTATTAGTGATGATGAGTTGAGACAGATTCAGGGATTCTTTCAAAGAGATACTGTTGCTACTATTGATTTGATGGATTTGGCCAAACAACTTCCAAGTACGTATACAGATGAGAATGGTAGAGCAAGCTTCCTTCAGTTTCAAGATGATCAAACACCTGTATTGAAATCACTCGTTATTGGGGCAACAGACGATTTTATCGTAGACCAGATGGGAGTCGAGGAACTAGCGACGTATTATGGCGTTGAAGCTGTTATGGTTGAATCTGCACATGATGTGATGCTCGGTAGTAGATGGCGAAATGCAGCAGAATTGATTCAATCCTTTTTAGAGAAGCAATCGTGAAGAAAGAGAGATAGTAGATTTATATAGATAGGACATTGTGGATTGATAAATATTCCATATTTGCATTTACGCTATACGATTATTGACTTTATTCAGCCGATTTCATTTCATCCAATTTGGATGTTTTCTTTTTCATAGCTGCTTTCTCTCGACGCTTGTATGTAAATCCTGGGGGGTTCCAGTCAGGTCTAAATCCAAAAGTCTTGGACTTTATTCCCTGTAAAGATGAGCTCTTGGATGACAAAGTAATTGCTTCTTCCTCGTCTTCGTCCAATGGCCCATCACTTTCGCTACCCATATTCAGGGTTGCAGCTGTATACCCAAGTTGCAATGCAGCAGCGCCTGATTTGCCACCTGCAGCAACGAGTTCCCTCCTCATATGTACAGCTGTCCAGAATATCAAACCTTTCTGTAGAGTCAAAGCTACTTCAATTGACGTTTCATCAGTGACGCAAACTTTACCTATACGAAACCATTTTGTTCCTTCACTATTAGATTTTGTTTCTCCGCATCTGACAAATACATCTGCAACTTCGAAATATTCATAGTCTTCATCGTCAGGATTTCCTTTCGGTGTTATTTCCAAATCAGTAATGCCTGCAAAAATATCCCATTGTTTTTCTAAAGAATTTTTATCAGCAGAAATGGTTGGCACAGTAGATACCTTTTCTATTCCTTTGCTCCCACCAAAACCACCTCCCCTAGAAGCTGAGGCTTTCTTTTTCTTTTGCGCTTTTGCTTGTATTGCGGAAGAGGAAAGGGTTAGCTTTCCATAGAACCCAGGTATTGATGTCTGAAAAGAAGTGCACTCCAGCCACAAACTCAAATTCAAAACAGTTGCAAGAAGAAATGAAGCTTTGTACATACACATAATGGGTGGAGTTGTATGGAATTACGAAATGGGTGATGATGCTTCGCAGGTTGCAATAGTTCAATTGATAAAGAGCAAAAAGTGAGAAATAAAGTGTTGAAGTTTTCTGGTGGTGACGTACGTACGTGTCAATGACAACTGGAAGCTCTCAATGTCAAGATACAAGAAGCAAGTATCTAAGTGATAGGTTAGTTTGAAAGATGACTCGTCATTGGATAAGTAAACAATGTGTCATTCCGTGCTAGCAGCTTCAAAAGTAAATAGTAATAAGTTCATATTCATATGGATTCTACCTTACTAGCTATGTAGCAGAAGTATTTAACCAGGTTTGATTTGACACTGAATTGATTCCCGATTCGATGCTAAACTTTAGATTTTTATGAATGCAGAATAAGAATAAATCAGTTATATCAAGCGAGTTTGATGTCCTAATTTATTATTTTGGAATTGCTAAATCTTATGGCCCCTCGGGAGACACGATTTCAGGCTTCAAAGGCATTCCATCCTCTGTTCTCTGGGTTCTAAAACCTTCCTCCCCACCTTCATAGATCTCTCCCTGAAATCCCACTTCAGAATTCTTGACATCATCAGCACCTTCAGTTTCATGAGCTCTAAGCATTTTTTTTAATTGTACTGTGGGACGATTGTATGCAACGTCCATTTCTGAATCACCTGGTGCAACCCACAATTCTAATAATCCATTTTTATCGAACAACTCTCGAGGTCTTAGCCGAGCGCTGTGCTCTTCAATCAAAGGATATTGCCTCGCAACACACATTTCCACAGAAACATCGGAAATTCTTGCTACCTTTCCACAGAACCAAAATACATCTGTGTCAGGATCTCTCGCATATAAATCATTCGTCATTTCTGGACCGCCAATTCCTCGAATTGCATTGAAATTTTTATACTGGCGTTTAAGATTGAACTCGTTATATTTCATATCTCTCGGAATTGGAGGGCCTCTCCACAGAGGATCTCCTAGTTCATCATCCTCATCATCGAGATCATCCCATTTGTCAAATAAGGTAGTAGACGATATTTTGCGAACGATTGAGTTGGCATGAAATTTTGAGATTGATGCCTTGCCATTCTTCTGTGGTGAATTTGAGAATGCAAATACTTGGGACATCAATAGCAAAGCTAAGAGACCACGGAAGTTATTTTTCATTACCAGCAACATTAACATGGCGCAAAGTTAGGTATCTTGTTGAATTCTTTCGATTGATTTCAACCACACAAGTTGTTTGGATTGTAGATGATGTTTTATTTGTATCTTTCACTTTTGTAAAAATGAATGGCTCTCTTTGTCCTCCTCTTTCGTCGGATCGCTTTGGTCTCGGATACTTGAAAATTGACACCGGCTAAATAGCCATAGTGAAATCTTTTCAACACCACCGCGGCATTTCGCATTCTGCACAAATTCTCTCTCTGAATTACTGAATCATGATGGAATGTCATGCACTATCTAAATGATTTACAATATATACGCTACATATAGATCAGTCCAATATTGAAACAACATGTCATCAAATTCTGGGATTCCAAATGAGTCCAACCTCCCAGATTTCACTCCACCCTCTATTATCACATTGGTATCGGTAGCGTTGGGGATGGTGATACTACTTGTTCTATTGAGAAAGGTGATTAGTATCTTCGTCATTGACATGTGTTTACTAGGAGACTGCAGCTCTTTCAAAAAGATTTTCTGTTGTTTCAGAGGGAGCCGAGATGGTGATAGACAAAATGATATGGACAACACAGGTACATCTTGGCCAAATAGATGGAGATCTAGAGACGCAATACTATTTGAAAGGATAGGAGCATTCAATGATCCATTTGCATTTATTTATGGTGATAAAGTAAGTTTCAACTCGATGCCATACGAGTATCATTGCAAGAGTACTATTTCTCTCTCACACACATGTCACTTTTTTTCAGATCACAGATGAGAAACGAAAAAAGTTTTTAAATATTGTTGCTGAGAAGGAGGTAAGAATTCATTCAAATGATGAATGTAGTAATAATAAAAGAATCACCCTAATCGTTGCTGAATTCATTGCAAAAGTTAAAAACGTTGCAAATGGGTGGCTCAAACCGAGACGATCTAGAAGATGTAAACATGGAAACAGATGAGCAAGGAAAAGATACTTCCGTGGATGAAGAAGCGCAGAGAGAAGAAGATATTGACATCATTGAACAAAAGGATTCATATGCAGAGACTGATAGTGAAAATTGTGGCCAAGATTGTGCAATATGCTTGCAGGGTTTAGGTAAGTTGATCAGAGGAGAAGGGAAAGGGATATCTCCTACGCTTTTACAACTATCCTTCTAATAATGGAATCTATATCATGACTTCATAGACGATGATATATGTGAGATTAGAAATTGCAAGCACCAGTTTCATCGTGAGTGTATAAGAGCTTGGATTACTAGATCATTCAGTTGTCCAGTGTGTAGAAAAAGAATTATTTCTAGGGATAAATTGCTTGATTACATGGCTTCCAATAAAGAATGCATCACTTGATTCTGGATTCTTTCTACGACCGACTAGAATTGTAGATAATATGATGTTGCATATATAGTGCATTGTCATCAAGTTCCAAAAGAATACGTTGGCAATGTTTGTGTGTTGCCGTTTACGAGTAAATTACATAGAGATATATTTTTGAAAAAGTTTGCTGTTACTTCCGTCTGTTGAAAGTATTTTCTGGTATTGTTAAATGCAGGATTAAACTAATTATCTGTTACTATATACAACCAATACAAGGTCCAACAACATAGTTGTCAAGAAT